CTATACTTCATGGGGACGCAAATCCTAAGTCGCCTAGGCAATTAACCCAAGAAGCATTAAATGCATTACATATTGTTGAGGAAGCCATTGCCTGTGCCAGGGTTCACCAAATAAATTATCAAGATAGATGGGGCCTGCTGGTGTTTCCAACCGCTTATACTCCCACTGCCTGTTTGTGGCAACACGGAGTATTGGAATGGTTACATTTACCACATACTCAGGCAAAAATGTTGGCTGACTTTCCTTATTTGTGCTCCCTTTTAATTATAAAAGGTAGAATTAGATCTAGAGAACTATTTGGACGAGAGCCACATTTTATAATAACTCCTTATAAGAAGGCTCAAGTAGACTTATTATTACAAAATAATGAAGATTGGATTTTGGCTTTACAAAATTATACAGGTCAGATAGAATATCACTACCCCAAACATCCTCTCATAGAATTTGCTAAGACCGTGGAAATTGTGTTTCCTATCTGGTATTCATCAGAACCTCTAGATCAAGCGATATTAATCTTCACAGATGGTTCTTCCACTGGAAGGGCTGCAGTTTATACATATCATCATGGCTCATACTGGGAAGAAGGAGAGCAGACTTCTGCCCAGCAGACTGAAATAAGAGCAGTAATTTTAGCCTTCATGACATTTCAGCAGCCTTTTAATTTATACACAGATTCTAAATATGTAGTTAATTTGTTTCCAGCATTGGAAACTGCCCTTTTGTCAGGGAAATCACCTATATTACCTTTGTTACAAAGATTACAAATGCTTGTACACCAAAGGAAAGAGAAGTTTTTCATAGGCCACATACGTGGTCATTCAGGTCTTCCAGGCCCTCTAGCACAGGGAAATACTATGGCTGATTTATTAACTCGGTCTCAAGGTGTCTTTTCAATGCAAGAAGCACAAGAGAGTCATGCCTTACATCATCAGAATGCAAAGGCTTTGAAACAAATGTTTCATATTACCAGAGAACAAGCTAGGCAAATAGTAAAGCAATGCCAGCATTGCCCAGTTGCCTACCATCCCTTAAAAATGGGAGTGAACCCTAGAGGTTTAAAGGCTAATGTTATTTGGCAAATGGATGTGACTCATGTTCCATCCTTTGGAAAATTGTGTTATGTCCATGTGGTCATAGACACTTATTCTCATTTCATACATGCTTCAGCCCGAACAGGGGAAGCTGTAAAAGATGTGATTCAGCATCTTATTCAGAGTTTTCAAGTAATGGGTATTCCCTCACAGATCAAGACAGATAATGGGCCAGCATATACTGCCAAAGCATTTGAGCAGTTTTGTATGCAGTGGCATATTCAACATGTCACAGGAATCCCTTACAATCCACAAGGACAAGGGATTATTGAAAGGGCCCATCAAACCTTGAAGATGCAAATACAGAGGCTACAGCAAGCCAACAAGTATTATACTCCTCATCATGTGTTGTCACACAGTTTATTTACATTAAATCATTTAAATATAAATGATCAACAAAATAGTGCTGCAATAAGGCACTGGAACAAGGATAGAAGACAATCTCCATTGCCACTAGTAATGTGGAAAGATCTCCTTTCCGGCCTCTGGAAGGGGCCGGATGTTCTAATCACCTCGGGACGAGGGTATGCTTGTGTGTTTCCACAGAATGCCGACTCCCCCATCTGGATCCCAGATCGCCTCATCCGACCTGCTGTTGCAAAGCAGAAGAAGGAAAAGACGGTGGCGGAAGCAGAAAAAGCAGCTCCAGCAGCAAATGAAGAAAATGAAACTAAGCCGGCCCACGGCAGAAATAACATGGACGAAGATTCGTCATCTGACACGAGAAGCGAAACAGCTGCTCACTGAACAAGGAAAATCCCTGACAGCGTCTATGTATTTCCTCGCCTTTTTGGCCATTATCTCTGCTCCCCAAAGGGTGGAGGGAGTTTCCTACTGGGCGTATGTCCCGAATCCCCCTATCTTGCAACCCGTGGGGTGGTTAGATCCTGAGCCTTTGAAAGTGTTAACCAATGATTCAGTGAGAATGGGTGGTGCTCAGGATTCTGACGCACGAACTGGTTTGTCCTCTCTTATAACCTTTGAGGGAAGGGCAGACTCGCTTCCGATCTGCATTTCGCTTCAAGGGAGAGTGCCTTCGGGTTGCCTGAGTACACGCTACAGTACTTTTCTCACTGACGGGCCAGACAAAGAGAATGCAGGTAGGAGATGGATGTGGGAGATTCAGATGCAGACCTTGGGAAATCCTAATTATCATGACAACTTTACGAAAGTTCATGATCTACCTATAGATCCCTGTATAGGAAAATATAGAGACAAGAATCAATTTTGGGACTCTTCTTTGTCTAAGTTTCCTACATGGCTAGCTTGTGGCTTTTCGGATTCTGCGATGTGGGTTAGGCCTGTTGATTATGATTATGAGATATGGGACTATTCAAATTCTAATTCAGGGGTTAAAAGGAGCAATGGCAAAGGACTTTATGAAGATTACATTGATACCCATAAAGACAAGTACCACAATTATGCGTGGACTGGATTAGGAGAGCCACTTAGGCGATGGTTTTCTCCAGGATTTGTAGAACCCTACTGGTTTGCAAAACATGAAAATAAGACAAGGAAACATACTGATCTTTTTAGACTGGTTGCTGCAGCCAATATGTTTCTGGAAAAGAAGCCCAATCATACAAAATCTGAACCTGTCGGACTGAAAGCCTGTATAGCATATCCTAATGCATTGCTGTTAGCTCAGGCAACTTTTGTGAATATTTCTCAGGAAGGGAAGTCGTATAAAATAGTTTGTCATTCCTGTAAATTGACCAATTGTATAACATCGGCAGAACAAAAAGAGTTAGGTACTATGATCATTGTTAGACGCCCTCCTTTTGTGATGTTGCCTGTAGATTTGGGGAATGATCCCTGGTATGATAATTCTGCTATGCAGGTTTTAAACACTCTAAATGAGTTGATTAGGCCAAAGCGATTTGTAGCAGTATTAATTTTGGGAATTACAACATTAATTTCTATATTAACCACCTTTGCTATGGCTACTACAGCCCTGGTGCAGGAAATTCATACTGCCCATTATGTGAATGCTTTGAATAAAAATATTACTTCAGCATTATTAGAACAAGAAGCTATAGATAAGAAGTTGGAAGCAAAATTAAATGTGCTAGAGGAAGTAGTGCTCGTTCTTGGTCAGGACATTGCTAATTTAAAAACAACTCTATCAACACGTTGTCACGATGATTTTAAATCAATCTGTGTCACACCACTACCTTATAACACTTCACAGCCATGGGATAAAGTTAAGGCTCACCTACAGGGATTGTGGCGGGATAACGATATTACTCATGATCTAGCCGCATTACAAAAGGATATTTCTGCTATGAGTCAATCTCATTTACAATTAGGGGGACTGCAAGATTTGGCTTCGCAATTGGAACGTGGACTTAAGAGCCTTAATCCCTTAGATTGGGTGCAGTACTTTGTATTCATTGGAGTAATTATACTCTTGATAGTATTGGTCATCTTTTTATTCCCCTGTCTCTTAAAGTGCTTATTTTCTTCATTACAGGCAGTGAAACAGGAGGTGTTCGAGCTTCATTTTAAAAATAAAAAAGGGAGACCTGCCACGTCCACAGCAGTGACTGCCGTGTAGTGACAAAATGCCTCTGCGCTGGCTTTCGCCTGCTGAAGGATTGGGGTTAGAGCTTCCTGGAGCGAAGCCCCAGGTGGTCCCCTGGCAATCAGTGGTCAAGATAGGACCTGATGCCTTAGGCAGATCTCGTATCTGGAAATGGCCTTGAGAGCGAGCCCTCCTGGCACCCTGCATGATCTTTCTCTGTATTTCTTATCTTTCCTGTTTTCAGCTGACTGCTCACCAAGAAATCAAAGTATGTCCTTGGCTCGGCCCCACCGTTCTTTAAGCAGTCCTTGAGGAACTGAAGCATGCCCCACGCCACATGAGCCTTAGAAACTTTATTAATAATAAAACAGAAGAATAAAAGACTATATAGACAAAAGCTAGACCCAGGACTCTGAGAACTAGTCCCCCACGGTAGAATATGGTTAGTGGTGTGAGACAGAATTCTAAGAGACAAAACTAAAAGTCCTTGCCAACACCTTGAGCACGTAGAAGGAGTTCTATTTTGATTATGCTTAGCCTTGATTTATGTCTGGAACCCTGAATGGGGTGATGCAGTGAGCCTGCCAAGTTCTTTGATCTGTTTTGTACATAAACTGAAGCTTTGCAGAAGTAAAATTGCAGCAGATTTTCACTACCAGTGTGTCTGTCTGTCATTCCCTTGCGTCGTATCCTGGCTATCCTATCCTTCACCCTGTTCTCCCGTGGATAGTGGTCTCCAAGAGGGACGGTCCGCGGCACCTGACCAAGGCGGCAAGAATGGCCATGGGGCAGGGAGAGGCTTAGGGAAGCCATCCCCCTCTCCATTCTGTGCTGACCCTCCCCGAGCCCGCTCCCACCCCAGTGCAAGGCATAGATTTCAGTGGGAGAAGCACGTGCCTTCCCTGGCATGGGCAGCAGAGCAGGGGATAAGGAAGGGACCAGGCGAGGTCTCAGGACAAGGTCAGATCGAGTTGGACTCTAAGTCACTTCCTGAACAAGATCCAAATTCCAATCTTGGTCTCAGGACAACTCACAGGCTTTGGACCCAGCCTTAACTCAGGCTGTAAATGGGAACAAGGCATCTGAGAGCCAGAGAGAATCAGGTCTGCAGAGAGTTCAAGGGTCAGTCACACCGGACATCCAGGCTGCAGTATCCCAGGGAGACCTCCCTGGGAAGCCTCGGGGAGGGACAAGTTGTGCGGTTGCGCGCTGCCCTTGGCATGTGCGGGAGCATGAGTCCACGGGCGTGAAGCTGGGGCAGTGGCAGAGAGGCTTGTGTGCATGGCGTGTTAGCGGGCTAGCGTGAGAGGTGCGGAAAAGGAAGCTGTGGAGGAACAGGCAGAGAGAGCCGTGAGAGGTGCAGGGAGGCCTGAGAGGCCTATTACCTTCCATGGGGAGCTCAGAGCTGAGCCCCCAGGGGACCCCAGGTCCTGGGGGGACAGCAAGGTGGGGATCGGCTGGCGACGGGGCGTAGGGGGAAGGGAAGATACTGAACTTCTTTCAAAGACCTAGGGAGCAGAAGGCAGGGGCAGGTTTGGAGGATGGAACTCCAGTGAGGACCCAGGCGCTGGCTGAGTACCTAGGCACCTATGGAGGGTGGTCCAGAATGCCAAGGGCCCTAGTCTCACCCCCTGGCACCTCACCATGGCCACTGACCCACTGGGCCTCTACTCTCAGGCCTCCACAGGGCCCTGACAGTCAGGAACTCTGGCATGGGGTAAAGATTTCTGAGACCCCTATAAGCGGTGACTTGTAGTAACGCTAGGCCCTTTGGCACGAGGGTCTCCAAGATTCTGTGCCCAGAACACTAAGGCACGAAGGGTTTTGGTGCATGAGCTGTCCTCAAGATTGCTTGGGTAGGGTCTCAGTAAGCTCGGAATATCCAGGTCTGGAACAAAGTGTAGTGGGTCTTTGGGTCCTGGGGGTGGGGATGGGGGGCAGGGAGAGGAATCTGAGAGAGTGTAATGAAAACTCAGACCTACCAGGAGGAACTTTAGACTGTCTCCTTCCATTTCCCAGCGGAGAAGAAACGGAAGCTAAGCAGATTGGGTCCTAGGGCTGGTACTCTCCTGCCTGCCCAGGACCTGCTGCCCAGCCCTGAGGAAGGCTTGGCAAGGAACTGAGCCTGGCTGAGGCCTCGTTCAGTCACGCCTGACCCACCTCCAGCTCAGCGATGATGCGCTCCTCATCGTCTTCATCCTTGATGGCAGAGGCCATGATGGGTGGCGTGGAGGCAGGGCGGGCCACCTCAGACACGGCCCGGCGGAGCTTCACCTGGGGCTTCTGGACCTCCAGCTCCTCAGACTCAGCCTTCTGTAAAGCCCCGACATCTTATCAAGCCTAGGTCCTTCCCTCCCTCCAGCAGAGGCTCACCACATCCACCACCAAACACCAGTTCCCTGCCAGGAAGGCCCGCCCCGTCCCTGCCAGAGCTGGCTGTGGGATTAGAACAACACACAGCCCTAGAATCCAAGCTAGATGTCAGGTTGGGTTGTTCTGCCTGACTGCCATCCTCTCAAGCTTCCCCTTAAGGTACCCCTGAACCCCACCAATTGGGGTGTACCTTGATGAAGGCTGAGTCTTTCTTGCTGGTGACCACCACCTCTCCGGTGCGTGTGGTGGTCAGGCCGTGGGAGGAAGGGAAACTCCGGCGGGGAGGGGGTGGCGGGGGTGACTTGGAGGGCTTCTCTGTGCGGTATCTGGGCACCGTGAGCTCATCTGCAAGCAGTGGGGACCTGGGGTCAGGGACCCACCACAACAGTATGCACAGTCCCGTTCCTCCAGTAACGACCGAGAGGACAGCTCAGGGGAGAGGAAGGCAGGACCCCTCTCCACTTTCCTATGCCTGCCACCGGCTCACCCAGCCCCACCTCCTCCAATGGCACTCAGCTGCTCAGGGTTGTCAGGGAGCCAGGAACACTGTGGCACCTTGGCACTGAGTTGCTGACCCAGCATGGACATCATGACATCACCAGAGGCCCAAGGCCACACACACACTCAAGCCTGGGACTTAGGTGCCACTCTGGGCCACCTCGTGACCACAGCTGTCCCTCAGCCCTACCAGACTCAGCTTCATCCTTTCTCTGAGGAGCTTGGTCCTGCTCACCATCCCCCTTCCTCCAGCCTGGTTTCCATGGCAACCCACTAAAAGGTCACTCAAACCATAACACCCTTGCCTTTCATTCTCCCAGGGCTCTCCACCAACCCAAATAGTCTGAGTTCCTAGCCCAGCACCTTCCACAAGCTCTCAGCCTTGCTCTGCATTAGGGCCCAGCTCTGGACCCTGCTCCAACCCGGCAGCATCCCCCACTGCACTTGTCACTCTGCCCCCTGAAGGTGCGCTCACTGTGGGAAATGTGCCTGCTCATTCCTAAGACTGGACAGTTCCAGGCCGGCTCAGGAGCAGCACTTAGCCCCTTTGTGCTAGGGATGCATTAAATGTGGCCCGGGACAGATTACGTAACCATTTGGAGTCTGTCCTCTTTGTAAGGAGGGAATGACTGTGTCTGCCTTCTTCAACTGCTGCACCCAGAAGGCCTCGGGTAGTCAGTGCCCAACAAATGTCACAATCTGTCTCGCCATTAAATCCTAAGCACAGTCTGCAGAGATGGCTCAGAGGCTAAAGGTGCCTGCTGTACAAACCTGGTGACCTGAATTTATCCCATGATCCCACAGTGGAAGAAAAACATTAATTCCCACAAGTGGTCCCCTGACATGTATACACTTCACACACACACACACACACACACACATAATAAGATAATTAAAAATCTTTTAAATAAAAAAATTCTGAGGCTGGAGAAATGAGTCAGTGATTAAGAGCACTGGCTGCTCTCCAAGACCAAGCTTGATTCCCAGCACCCACATTCCCAGCACCCACGTGATGGCTCAAAGCCATCTGAAACTCCATTCTATGGGATCCAACGCTCTCGGGCCTCCTCAGGCACCAGGCACACACGTGATGCCCAGACAAAATACCCATAAAAACAGAAAAATAAATTCTTAGCCCTCTGAAGCACCTTTCCCACTCAGGGTCCTGGAAGAAATGCATGAACCAACGATGACTGGGCCTCTCCTTCAGGTGCCCCCCCCCATCCTGCAGGCGTGGGGTGTCAGGGCCCTGGCATACAGGTCAGCACTGCACTGTCCTCAGAGCGGGGAGAAAATTGGATGGACTCACCCTGTCCTTCTGTATCCTGGTCCCCCCAGTGATCGCTAATGGCTAGCACCCCATTCTCTGGCAGCCCAGCTACCATTACCAGTGCATCCCCTACATGTCAAGCTCTGAGGACGGGCCTTACATCCCCATACCTGAACCTCTTCTCCCACTGGGCTCTGTCCGGGGGGCTGCCTTCTGACCATGGGGCGCCTTGGGGGGCTTGTGGTCTGGGGTGGGGGTGGGTCCTGGGTGGGCTTTGCTGGCACAGTCCAGGTCCGGGATGGCCTTGAGCAGCTCAGCCTGTGTCTCCTCCAGCAGCCGGTTGATGTCCTTGGCGCTGTACTGGGTCAGGGCTGCCCGCTTCTCTTCCCAGTCTCTCTCCGCAGCCTTGAGAAAGGAAGCAGAGCTGGTGTCAGGGCTCCTGCCCATGACCCCCCGAGCTCTGCCCATCAGCCCTTCCCCAGGCCACATGAGCTAAGAACAAGAACTTCACGGAGATTTAGCCCCTCCTACTGGGTGTTAAATATTGTCCCTGTAGCTTAGAGAGATCACTTTTAATAAATACATTATTAGGTCTATTTCTGGACATTCTATTCTGTTTCATTGACTACCCAGTCTGTGTTTATACAAGCACCATATTGCTTTAATCATTATCACTTTATAGTATACTTTCTGTCGAGATGGGTAAATGTCACCAATATTATGCTTTTCAGACTCCTGGTCCTCCTCCTAAAGGGCCATGTGTCCCTTCAGTACCTGCCATTCCAGGTGACAGCAAGAATGCGAGCCTAGTTTGTGCCCCACCCTGGTCCATCACCTCAACAGACACTGCTTTGTCCGCGCTTCTCTTGCCGGAAGCATCCAGGCCTTTGGTGGGGTTACTGCTCTTTGGGGTAAGAGGGGCTCCTTCGGCAGGCCCACTCAGCTCATGGAGATTCAGCGGAGGGCTGGGGGGTGGTATTTCAAAGTCCAAGCCTTTGCTGAAGTCTGTTTCAGCTGCCACTTTCTTGGGAGACTGGTTCAGGAGATTGTTGGGGGGTGGCCACACACCCTCATCCACTTGCCTAGGGTTGGGAGAGTTAGAAGCAGCTAGTGAGAGATGGTAGCCCCTGGAGGGGAACCTGCAGATGTGAGGGGGGCAAGCCCAGGAAGGCGTGTGAGGAAAAGCCAGGCATTTGCACGCAGGGGTCACAGGTCAGAGTTGAAGAGATCGAACTGGTACAGAGTGACCTCTGAGGAGTCAGAATAAGGGCCAGGTGCTCCCATGGGTTTGGGCCTGGTGTGTAACCCCACGGGAAGTTAAAGACAAAGGAGAGAATGACCTGCGGATCTGGGCCAGCGTGTCAGTGACCCCCCGGCAGCGCTTGAGAAGTCCATCAAGGCGCTGAGGTTCCTCCTTCAGGAACTTCACTGCCTCCACCTCTACACGCAGCACGACGCGCATCTTACTCTGCAGGCCTGGGAAATGAGCTGAGAGGGCAGGAGGAGTAAGCTGGCTGGGGAGGAGCACCCAGGAGTTGGCACACTGCGGGGGAGCACGGCAGGGAAGCCCTCGGGGTCACCTTTGCCAAGGCAGGCTCACCCTTGAGCTCTGTTAGCGTCTCCCCAAGCTGCTTCAGCACCAGCGCCTTCTCTTCCAGTTCAGGACCGGGTACCAGGCGGTGGTTATGGGTCACATCCCTCTGGATCTTCTCCACTGACTTCTCTAGGTCACTGCAGGCACAGAGAGACCCTTCTCAGCCCCTCTGGCCCCAGCCTAGCCCCCTGAAATTGAGCAGCTGGAAAGAAATTGCGCCACCAATCAGATCAAAATTAAAAGCTATAGCCAGGTGTGGTGGCTTACACCTGCCATCCTAGAACGTGGAAGGCTGAGGTGGGAGGACTGTGGAAAGTTTGAGGCCAGCCTGGGCTACATAGTAAGACCTTGATGCAAACAAAACAAAGCATTAAAAAAAATCACAAAACCAAAGCCCCACTAGGCTACATGCCCAAGTGAAGTCGGCAACGCTAGCTCTCAAAGATGAGACTTTCACACGGTTCTTTACGAGGTACCGCGGCCTCCGCACAAGCACTGATCTACAGTAACATCACCTTCTCTCCTTAACTCTTCCACAGAAGCAGTGGAGAAGATGGTGGCCTCAGCAAACCTTACGTAACCTCCAGGCAACAGTACCCATCTGAAGGCACAGCGATGCGCACCGCCTTGATGCGCGTTGGTCGGAAACATTTACGATCCCACATCTTCCTAAAACGCAAACCAGGAGCTAAGCATAGCGGTACAAACGTGCAATCCTGGCATCTGGGAGGCTTCCCAGCTTTGGCGGCTGGGGACAGGATCACAAGTTTAAGGACAGCCTGGGTTCAATACAAACCAGCCAACCAAAATCCCAACCGAAGCAAACCAAGTCTTACAAGTCTTCACCCTGTGTGTAAGTTCTTATGTTCTTTTTTTAATTTTTATTTATTTATTTATTTATTGGTTTTTTGAGACAGGGTTTCTCTGTGTATAGCCCTGGCTGTCATGAAACCAGCTCTGTAGAACAAGCTGGCCTCGAGCTCATAAAGATGTGCCTGCCTCTGTCTCCCAAGTGCTGGGATTAAAGGTGTGTACCACTGCCTGGTTGTGTTGAGTGGGAGGGAGGTCAAGGAGATGGCCCAGTGGGTAAGGCGCTTGCTACGCAGGCATGAGGACCTGAGTTCAGATCCCCAGCACCCACCTAAAAGATGAGCACAAGAATGAACAACTTTAACCCCAGCCTTGGGTGAGGAGGGGGCAGAGACAGACCAGTTCTGGGAGCTCCCTAGCCGGTTCCAGGGTCCGTGAGAGACCCTGCCTCCAAAGCTAAGGTGGAGAGGTGGAGAGATGCTCCAGCAGTTAGTGAGCAATTGTTGCTATTGCAGGGGACCTGGGTTCAGTTCCCAGTACCCACATGGTGGTCCAGAAGCCTAACTCCAGTTGCAGGGGATCCAGTGCCCTCTTCTGACCTCCCTGAGCACCAGACATGGACACGGTGCACATATACATACACATACATACATACATTTATATATGCAAGCAAACATACTGCACAAGACAAAATACATCTTTTTTTGTTTGTTTTTCGAGACAGGGTTTCTCTGTGGCTTTGGAGCCTGTCCTGGAACTAGCTCTGTAGACCAGGCTGGTCTCGAACTCACAGAGATCTGCCTGCCTCTGCCTCCCGAGTGCTGGGATAAAGTGGGAAGTGATAAAGACACCTGACATCAACCTCACTCCCACGTGTGCACCCACAGACACACGTCTATACCACATAATCTATATATAATAGATAGATAAAAATGAAACCCTAAAAAAAAAAAAAAAAAAAAAAAAAAAATGAAACCCTAAGTTTGAATGAAACCCATCATCCTGAGGCTAAACCCCAACCTTAGCTCTACAGTCATCGCTTCTTCCCTGCTTTTCCAGCAGAAGGCTCTGACACAATCACCTAATATCCCTGGGCTCTCTGGGCTTCCATCTTCTCACTCAAAAGATGAGTGTGAGCTGGGAGGTGGCGTATGCCTTTAATCCTAGCACTTGGGAGTCAGAAGCAGGAGGGTTTCTGTGAGTCTGAGGCCAGTCTGGTCTACAGAGTGAGTTCCAGGACAACAAGGACTGTTTCATAGAGAAATTCATGAAAAAAAAAAAAAAAGGACTGGGGCTGGTGAGCTGGCTCAGCAAGAAAGCACACTTGATGCCAAGGCTTCCATCCCCAGGACCCATATGGTAGAGGAATCAAACTATCGAACTGACTGGACACATGCACTGGGGTCCTCACACATACACATCCAATAAGTAAATAAATGTAATTTTTGACAGGGTATCAAAAGTTCTAAGTTCCTGGCTGGCCTAAACTCACCCTGTAGACTCATTCGATCCTCCTGGATGGGAAGGACCACTATACCCAGCTTAGAGAAAAGAAATTAAAGAAGTGGGCATGCTAGGAGTGTCTCCTTTGGGGCTACTACGAGCACTATAGGAGCCAATGGCCCCTAGGGCTCACTCTTGCTTCGCTCTCTGCATCACTACTTTCCCTGCTTGCTTCTGCTTAGATCATTCGGAATTTTTCCCAGTTCCTTATTGGCACTGCCCTCTCTGGCCCTTAGAATAAATACTCCCAGCCTAGAGTGTTCCATCTACTTGTACACACAAATTTCCAGCTAATTTCATCTCAGGTCTCAAAAAGAAGCCCTTCCCCCCATCTCCCCGCTTAGGGTTGGGAGTCTTCTCCCAAACCCCTGAGGCTCCTCTTTGCTGGCTTGTGAACTTTCTGTGCCACTAGCCCAAAGCAGGCACAAAGTGACGTTTCCCAGGTTCATCTGCGTTCCCAGCGCCCAGTCGGTGCCTGGTTTGGAGCACATACATGGTCAATAACTGTGAGATCGGGGCTGTAGTTTTGAGCACACAGTGCTCTTTTGTTTGGTTTTCGAGACAGGGTTTCTCTGTGTAGCTTTGGAGCCTATCCTGAAACTCTCTCCTTAGACCAGGCTGGTCTTGAACTCAGCCTTCCGAGTGCTGAGATTAAAGGTGAGCACCAACACCGCCTGGCAACACACAGTGCTCTTGTAGAGGACCTGAGTCGGATTCCCGGCATCCACCTCTGGCCTCTGTGAGAACCAGGACACATGTGCATATACCCACATGCAGGCACAAATATTATACACAATTTTTTAAAAAATAACTTTTTAAAAAATTAAATATTTTTTAATTGCAGGATGAAGAAGTGAGAGGAAGAACCGCTACGGGTAGGTGCGCCTTCTCAGCCCTGGACGGGGGTCGGTGGCATCCCTCACCCACATGGACGACTTTCTATCTGTTCCTGTCAAGTCCCACCTGTTGGATTTCAACTCAACAATGCAGGTGTAAACGACCTGAATCTGCTCTACCATCTGATGTGTCTGCTCTCAGTCGAAGTTCACTGTCATCAACCAAACTCATCAGCATGCCTCAGCCACCCTATCCAACAAGAAGACGAAATGAGAGACCAGGGCAGAGCCAAGGGCAAAATCCCGAGATTCAGCACCACTGGTCAGAGAACCGCTTTGCACTGAGCACTGTCTGTTCATCTGGTGCCACGTCAGCCCTGTATATTCATTTCCTCGTTTTAACCTTAAATCAGGTCCCGGAGGGAGGAATATTTCTTCCAGTTAGCACACGGGCAAACAGTGCTTCAAAGACTAAACTACATTTCCCAGCTTCCCTTGCAATTAGAAGTGAACATCCAACTGAGGCCTATCCCGTGAAATAGGGATGGAAAGGCACATGCCGTCTCTAGATCTAGTCCATAAAGACCTTCTGTGCAAGCTCCCTCCACATCCTTTCCCCTTCCAGTTGGTTATGAAGACCATGATCTGGGTGATTCTGGAAGGCACGTGCGGAACATGGCAGAAATGCCAACAGCCCGAATCCCTGACAGACTGCATATGGGAGGGCAGCTTTCTAACCTACCTAGTGTTTTCTCAAAAAGATCTGTCCATCATTTTCTTTTAGAGAGATGTATTTATTGAGCTTTAGGTGTGTAAGTATTCTGCCTGGCATATGTGTACTGTGTGAAGGCCTGGTGCCCACATAGGGCAGAAGCACACATCAGAGCCTTTAGAACTGGAGTTACAGATGGCTGTGAGCCACCATGTGGGTGCTGGGAACTGAATCTGGTCATTATTATTATTATTATTATTATTATTATTATTATTATTATTACAAGTGTTCTTAACCCCTGAGTCATCTCTCCAGCCCCCTTAAGCAGATTTTTGAGATAGGATCTCAACGTATGCCAGGCTGGCTGAAAATAAGTAACTGAGGGTGACCTAGACCTCACAACGCTTTTGCCTCAGCCTCCTGAGTACTAGGATTACAGGCTTACACCACCACACCCAGTTTAGCGTCTTTTACTTTAGAACCATTGAATGATTTGGGAGCTTGTTGTGGCAGCTGCCTTAAATAAATAAGGAACCCTAATTGAGGTTTGGTCTCCCAAAAGCAGGGTGGCAGAAGCTCTGAGAGGAACTAGTTCAAGGTCACACAACCGTTCGATGGTGTAGCACTGTCTACTCACGGGGGACTTCAGCCATTGGCTCTGATGAGTCCCACTTCCAAACTGAATGATGTCACCTGCCTGCTGTCCCACCCGCCCTCACTCTACCACATAGGAAAAACCAGCCCTTTCCCACAGCCAGCGATGGGTCAGCAGAAAGACTTGGAAGGCAACAGGCTTCAGTCAATGGGGGCGATGTCCAGAGAGAGCCCAAGCCTCTGGCTAGACAGGTGAGTGAGCCCAGCAGGAATGAAACCAAAACCCGGCTTCAGCTGCCCGTGGGACGCCAGAAAAGAGGAAGGAACAAAGGGAAATGAACATGAGAGAGTGACACAGAGAGAGAGAGAGAGGGAGGGAGGGAGGGAGAGAGAGAGAGAGAGAGAGAGAGAGCGAGAGAGAGCACAGGCAAGCATGTAGGGGCTGTGGGCTACTGTGGGGCAGCTAGGACAGGAGGCAGGGGTCGGTCTTGCAGGCCAGACCAGAACCATCACAGGACCCAGTCCCTGCCTCACTCAAAAGAGGCAAGCGCCAGGCTGGAGAATCCCATCGGCAGCTCCCGGGTTCTCTACAGTGAGCACTCTGAGTGATGGGTGTGATCAGACACAGAGGGTGGGGGTTCTCAGTGCTCGCAGAGAACTGAAGCCCCCAGGAAAGCAGGGACCATACACTCATGAGGAACAGGGCATAAATCGGTCCTTTTATCTCTCTTGCCTCAGTGCTTTGATGGTTCCCTTAATTTCCCTTTAATGTCTCGGTCTAACTCCTTTTGAAAATCCTGGTCCAGCTCCCTATGCAGAACGGGAAGAGACAAGAACGGGATAGGGAAGTGAGGAAACAGGATCCCTGGACAGCAGCTGGGCTGCTTGGAGATCTGGCCGGGGCATCACTGTCACCCACCTGGACATGATGGAGGGTTAGGGTTGCTGCTGATGGTTTATTTAGATGTGAGATGCCCCTTACTGCATCTCAGATGCACAATGTCACAGCACTACAGGGCTCCTTGCCTTAAACATTGCCAAAATGCAGACCAGGCTTGCATGGGCCCTCAGGCTGAGCTGTGACCTCCTCAGAGAACCCCTGGTGAGAGCTCCAAATATGACTTAGTACGGTAGCACTGTCCAACAGCTCTCTTGGCACCCTGGTCTCAAGCCCCTTAGTATGAAGCAAGCCCTTAACAGTTTTAGAAGGACTGGAGGGGGGTGGATACAAAAACAAAACAAAAACAAAAACAAAAAAACCCAAAACCTTAGTACTGATGAGGACGCTTAAGCAGAGAGAGGGTAGCAGCTACCTTGCCCCTTGATTCTGGAGTTGTCTCTGGACCCCCCTGCTGCCTCGTGTCACTAAAAGGGACCAGAAGAAGGGGTGGGGCCTTTGCCTCAGCCCAAATATCTCAGGAGAAAAAGCTGCGGTGGACAGCGGCGCTGCTTCCTGAATGGACACAGGAAAAACAGCAGCATCTCCCATCACAGGTGCCAGACAAAGGAATTGTGGCCAGACAGCCATTTGCTAAATCTGGAGCAGACTGTCTCTGTTAACCCTTCTGTGTCTCAGCGCTCTGAGCGGGTTGTTCTCTGTTGTGCCTCCTTTAAAAGTACCAGAGGCCGGCATCACTATGCTCAGAAGGGGAGCGGGCTTTCCTTGACTCTTGGTCTCAGGGGATCAGCGTGGCAAAGGGTCAGCAACACCTCACCTGAGCCGCTGACAACACCCCTGACCTTCTTGCTCAACCCGAGGGTGAAGTTGCATAGGTCACAAGGAGAGCGGGCAGAGGACAGAGGGGAAACGGACAGCTGGCTACAGGCCACAGGAAACAATAACATGGCAGGAGGCAGGCACCAAGCCAGAAAAAAAAAATCAGGAATTATGCCAGATGGCCAAAGGTTTGTGGGTCATGGAGAAATCAGGCCACAGAGGAGGGTGAAATCAAACTTCAGAACAACCAACGTCATCTATGTATGATTCCGAAGTAAAGGGGATGCGCCTCCCATGCAAATCAGGCTGGGTCACCCCGGCCGCCACCCCCCCACCACCTCCGCGCACAGGGGCCCAGCCTCACTTGAGCTGCTGAGTAATGAGCTCCTCGTCATTGAGGTAGCGCAACCGCTCCTCCTCCACCAGGGTGCGCTGCCGCTGCAGCGGGTCCTCCTGCCGCCGCGCCGCCTCCGACACACGCATGCTCAACTCCGCCTCGGTGCGCTTCAGCAACGCGCGTACTGATTCCTGGTTCTGGAGCTGCAGGAGCAAGGATGTCCGCGTGGGCAAGAATGCACGCGTGGACAGGGTCGGGGGAGGATGCATGTTGCTGGGGAAGGGTGGGCAGAGGGCAGCCCCGTGCAAGCAAAACTCCACAGAAGACTGGGTTGCTGGGTGAGCTGCTGCAAAGGCGTGGCAAAACAGACGCAGGGGTCAAGGACTGAGTTGGAGAGAACCTGTCCAGGAGATCCTGACCGAGGGTGATAGGGCTCATAGAGAGGGCAAAGTTATTATGGGTTTCGCCCAAGTTACAGTGGCGTGGCTGTGGCTGTGGCTGCGGCTGTGAGCAGCAGAGAAGGGTGGGACAGCTGAGAACCTAGACCAAGATTACATTCTGGAGGGACAGGGGAACGAGATGAGAATTTGTGTGGCCAAGGGGTAACGCTAGGTAGGGCCCTGATGTCAGTGTGATTGTGCAGTTATGTCCTCAAGTAGCCCTGAGTGGAGACAGGACCTGGGGTGAAGGACCCAAACTCTGTGGTTGATAGGGTCTGCCACTGTGCCTAAGCCTACAAGATAAAGGTCCCAGTTCCGAGCCCAAATGACGTGGGTGGGCGAGATCTTACCCGTGGCCCAGATGGCAGCTCTCTGCCTCCCCCCTTCAGCCTGTCTCTGCTCATTAGCCTCACCTGACAAGCCTTGAGCCCCTCTTGAGGAGCCGGCACAGCGATGCCAGGCTCCTGACAGGTGGGACCATCTGCCAGGCAAGGCAGGACAGCTACTCCAGGTTCAGGAAGGAAGAGCTGAGGGGATTGTTGGAATATGGATGCGGGGGCCTGAAGGAGCTGGAACAGCCTCAAGGGATAGTGAAGGGAGGAGGGGTGGCTAAGGCTCAGGGAGGGAGGAGACTGGGGGTCAATAAAGGGTCGGGGCTTGGTGAGAGGAGCAAGGTTTAATGATAGAAAGGGAAGAGGAGAAAGGGTCAGAAGAAAGACCACTGAACATGAAGGACTCCACTCCGCCAGAGTTGGATGGTGAGGAAAGGTAGGGCAGAGCTTGGGGAGAGGTAAGTGGGGCGGGGGGGGGGGGGGTTCGGTACCTGGAGCTTGCGCAACTGCTGAAGCTGGCCACGCAGGTCGCTAGCGCTGTTCTGTAGGCCCCGCAAATGCAGCTGCATCTGCAGCCGGCTGACAGCAGTGGGCTGCCCTGCAGGGGTGCCGCTGGCTGAGGGTGGGGGAGGGCCCGACACCGGAGTGGCCCCGCTGCTCCGACTACCCGATCCGCACGCTGCCAAGAGGAACCAGAAGGATGAGTGATAAGGAAAGAGGAACAAACGGTGAGGTGAAGAAGCCATCCTCTCCACTCACGCCCCACACCTAGCCAGAGAGACACACGGTTATGACCGGCTACCCTAAGGTGGCAAGTCCTAACAGGAGCCATGTGCCTGAGCAAAGATGATGACTCGTTTGTCGGCAGAAAGCCCCATGGTGTAGCTACTAGGAGAGCTGGCAGCCCAGCTTCAGGGTCAGGAAACTCTGGGAGGAAGAGAAGAGTCACTCACGCGCTGAGGGGGTGGCTGCTCCATTGGAGCCTTCAATCTTCTCACTGTGGCGGAAAGAAAAGAAAATGGTTGTGGGAGCTTGGGCTGGCCTCAGACCATCCAAGCTGAATGGGACCTTAAATGTCAGCCCAGCTCTCTACTCTTAGGATAGAGCCACAGCGAAGGAAAGGGAGTCACCCGGAGCCACACAGCAGACACAGGCAGAGCTGAGTCCTGAGCTTCTGATTTAGCTCACGGTGGCGGGGCTCATCGCTGCCTCAAGCCCCGGTCCTGATAGTGGTATTGAGAGAGGGCCTCTCACCTTGGGGTCTCGGGCTCTGAGCCTCGCAGGAGGGCGCTCTGCACCAGCCCTGTGAGGCTAGCGATCTGCTTCTCCATGGCCTCCATGCGTTCCCTGGGGAGGAAGGTGGATCTGAGCAAGTGCTCCCGTGAGTTTGTGGTCCCTCCTGCTCACCCCACTCCCCAGTCCTAAGATTAGCAGCCAAAGGACAGACAGCTCATCTTTCCTTAGCTGCCACACAGAACAGGGACCCAAAGTCAAGGCTCAAACTCCTAGTTCTCCACTGCCTCTCTACCACTGCTCCCACAAGGCACTCTGATGCAGGAGGGTTGCTGCGAGTTTTAGTAGCCTGGGCTACATAGCAAGACCCTGTCTCAAGAACACAAAACATAAACACAAAAAGCCCAACTCCTCCCAATCCTTAGCCCGCTCCAGCGGATTTCAGCGGGGTCCTTGCTGGACAGCTCTCACTGCTGTTGGGGCACTAAAAGGGCTGAATCAGCACCTTCCTTTTACCTCCGGGTAAACCGAGGCTTGGGGAATGAATACAAAGTCGGGTCTCTGTTCCAGTCATCACTTGAGGCTTCACCCAGCCATCCAGTGTCTTCCCTGCCACACTGAAGATACTCTGACCCTTCCCTGTGACCTAAACCCGGAGAGAACCGGCCACCCTCTGCAGTGCCTCCTTCTTCTATGTCCCCTCACCTGGTCTCTGTGTCCTTGGCTGGCACCGGCGGCCCGAATCCTACTAGAGAGCGCTCCCCAGGTCCAGGGAAAAGCTCGGAAGGTGGTGCTCCGGCCGTCGAGGCGCTCCCAGTGCTGCGGGCCTTGCCTCCGGGACTCTCGGCAAAGACGGACGAGGAGCCCGAGTCTTTGCGGAAGGACTGGCGCACCGGCGAGCCACGGCTGGGCGGCCCCGAGTAGGGGCTGTGCGGGGGCGGGGGTCCCCCAGAAGGCGCCGACACGTCGGCCAGCTTCTGCGGGGACGAAGGCGGCAGGCGGAAGCCGTAACCATCGCCATAGAGAGGGCCTCCAGCGCCTGCCTTATACAGCGAGTCCTCCAGGTCGGACTGCAGGGCGGCGGCAGAGTAGGTGCTGAGCGAGCGTACCGAGCCCCGCTTGTACAAGCCACCTGCGCCCGGGTATGCGAACGGGTCCCCCGCCGCGGCGGCCAGGCTCAGGCGGCCCTCGTGCAGAAGTCCGTAGGGATCGGCATAGAGTCCCTCGCCCTTCACCAGCACCATGCCGCCTGCTTTGCCTGCCAGGTCCTCGTCCGGCTTCACGTCGCGCCGCTCCAGGATGGCACTGGGGCTAGGGCTGACGCCCTGGCTGGCCGGGGCACCTCCCAGTCGCTCAGCCGCGTGGTGCACCGGACTGCCGGCATAAGAGGGCGGGCGGCCCCCAGCATAGGAGAGGCGTGAGCGCGAGGGCGAGCCCGACGGCAGGCCGGACGGCAGGCCCGATGGGAGCCCTGGAGGTGGCGAGCTAGATGCTAGGTGCGATGCGGGCGACAGGTTGTTGAGGCGCCGCGTGGGCGACGACTCCCGCGACGCGTACACCATCTCTCTCTGCGCAAAAAAAACAGCCCCAAAAGCCCACGGAGCTGGTCACAAAGAGGCCTTCCTTCCCCTTGTTTGAGGAGCCAGCACCTCACCTCTCCCCCAACCAGGCTTAGAAAACCCCCTCTGTCCTGTCTCCTTCTGCCTCCTGGGCCCCTCAGTACTCCCAGCATGGGGGTAAGTAAACAGGCAGATGGAAAGCCATCAGAAAAGCAACCCTCAACCCATCCTTGACTGGGGCCAGGAAGGAGAAGAGAAAGGGGAGTGGCCGAAAGGGACTTAGAGTATCTAAATGCCCTTTAGAAAAGTCTTGAGTGGACTGTGGGGAAGGTAGCAGGTGAGCAGATGGCACTTCCATAACCTCACCACTCACCCTGCCTCAGCCTCTAAGTTCCCATCTTTGAAACGGTCCTAGTTCTGCCTAGATTCCACCTGTCCAATCTCACCAGTGCCCTGTGTGCTCCCAGACATACCCGCAGGTCCCCGTTAGTGAGGTGCGAGCCAGGAAAAGCAGCATACAGTGGCTCCTTCCTGTAGATCTTAATAATACTGCGGTCCTGGATATCCCTGCCAGGGAGAGAGAGGCAGAGGGTCACCGTGTGCTCCCCCTAGCTGTGCACAATGAGGAGACGGGGCAGCAGCTACTTCAGGAAGACAAGAGGTTCCTGACATCCAGCCCTTCCCCGTTTCCTAAGCCCGGTGCTCAGTGACTCCTTGGGATGTCTGCCACCAGCAAGCAGGCATGAGTGTGCAACACACACACGAGGGAAGTCCACTTCTATAGCTTCCTGCCAGTGGGAACCCACAAGTCTGAATGAGTTAACAGAGAGGGCAGGACACTAGGACTTGGTGGGGAGGCAAAGGATGAAGAGAGGGTGCCTAATGATCTAGGGAAGGGCCACCAGAGGTCCAGCACTCTTCAGAGAAGTGGGGAAGTCTACCCAACCCCTGGGGCCGCGCCCACCGGACGTCCTCCAGCTCGTAGAAGATGTTCCGAGCTTCGTCTTTGATGAGGATGGCGGTGTTGGGCGACTTAAGCATGCCCATGGTGAGCTTCTGCGGGAACATGTGCGCGATGAGTGCGTGCAGCGTGTCCAGACTGCTGACCTCATGCGTGATGTGTACGCGTCGGGTCTCCTCCCCGAACTGCAGGAACAGGACCCCTGCGAAGGAGACGCCGCCCTCACGGTCACTGCCTCTATCAGCCGGCTTTGCGCCAGGGGAGTGCGGTGAGCCCTCGGGAGCGGCATTAGTCCCACAGCGGCAAGGTCTGAGGCTGGAGGCTGCCCCCGAGTGCAAGTGCACCCACGCACTCCTCATGCCGCCGGTTTGCGGCCCACCTCTCCAAAAACCCACAGAACCCCAGGCAGCTGGAGTCTGGACACGGAAATGGGGCTGGGGGAAGGAGCTGGAGGAGCAGAAACTGAAAAAAAGTCGGGAAAGTTGGAGAGGCTGGCGAGAACCCCGGAAGGAAAAAAAAAAAGCGTAGTAGAAATAGAAAAGGGCTGGATAGAGAGGATGCTGACAGAACTTAAGGGCCAGCAGGGTATGCTAAGTTCTAGCAGAGAAGAAAGAGCTAGAACTTCGACGAGGCGTCTGCTGCTAGAGGAGGGAGTAGCGAAGGGCGGGATAAGCCGGAGGGAGGAGCTGTGGCGGGGCCTGAAGGCAAGCAGGCTGGGCAGTACCTGGTGAGCGCAGCTTGGTCTGGCTGGCAGAGCGGGAGAGAGGCAAGCTCTGTCGGAAGCGGTTCATCCTGCTGAAGCCCAGGGGCAGCTCGGCCTCGGACATGGTCTCCAGCGACTCAGCCGAGGCGTAGGACAGCTTGGCTGCCTGGTCTGCCAGCCCCGGCTGGGCTCCCTGAGTATGGCGCGAGCTGCGGGTCTGCAGGGGCGGGGCGGGGCGAGAGGCACCAAGCATGAGCCCCCACCCCCACCCCTTGCTCTGCCACAACCTCCATCTGGGCCACAGAGCTCCAGCCAGCCAGCAACACACACACACACATTCAGAGGTGGGTCTCCAGGGTTCCAGACTCGCTGGGCAGCTGCAGAAAGATCCCTCAAACTCTCGAAGGTCTTGGCTTCCCTGGGACACCCGTAGGTAGGCAGTGGGCAAGCGACTCAGGCACCCTGGGATGCTATAGAAGAAACCATCTGAGTTGGACCCATGGGCACGCCTGCTATTTTAAGCTTCCAACGAGCAACAACATGAATTTGTCACCGAGGTGAGCAGCGGAATTGTTGGGCAAATTGGAGCATTAGTTCCAGACGTTAATTAAACGGCGGGTGCGTGGGCGGCGGATTGTCTTCATGGAGTTCAGGGGGCTTGGGGGAGCAGGGAGAAAGCAAAGCGATTGAGGGACCCCAGGCTTTCGCACTGGGAGGTGTCCGTGCCCAGGGTTCTTGACATAGAGGATTTTGTCCCTGGGGAGTCTCCCAAAGCCTTGAGTCAACTGAACCACAATTTAAAGTAAACACACGGTATACATGCAAAGCCAGGTGTGACACATTGTGTATTGTGCAGGCTCCGCCCCTCCCTGGGATACGAACACTGCCACAGTCTGATTGGCCTCCCCTAGCCATGAGTATTGCAGCCCTTTCCCTGTGGCTACAGCTGAGGTGAGGAAGGGTGTCACAGAGAATCCCTAGGTTCAAGTCCCAGTTCCCCTCCCCCGAGATAAAGGCCTAGGAGGTGGAGTTCAGTGGGAAGAATGCCACGAGATGGGCCTGACCCCAGTCTCCTTGAAGGTGGTGTCTCTCCTTATTTCAGTTGTCTTTCTAGAACTTACTTTTGGCTGTCACCCAGGGCCACAAGCTCTGCCATTCAGCCCTAGTTCCCACACTAAACCCAACTACTATATAGATGCTGGATGGTTTAAATCATTATTATTTTTTTGAGACAGACTCTCAATATGTAGCCCTGGCTACCTAGAGCTGGTTAAGTAGACAAGGCTGGCCTCAACCTCACCGAGACTCGCCTGCCTCTGCCTCCCAAGTGCTGGGATAAAGGGAGTATACCATGGGTGCCCAGTTCAAGAGAACTTTCTCTATTCATTTTATTTCTTTATGAAACTGAATTATGACAATTGGAATATACTACTTATGCAACTAAAAAGACAACAGCAAAGGCATCTCTCATATTTTGTTTTGTGTTTTTGAGACAGGGTCTCACTATGGAGCCATGACTGGCCAACCCAGTACTTAATACATAGGCCAGGCTGGCCTCAGGCTTGTGTTTATTCTCTTGTCTCTGCCTCCTGAGTTTGGGATTACAGGCAAGCACCCACCCCTCTAACAAACATCTCCAACCTCTCCTTCCCCCCAATCCTGATTACCCCTTAATTAATCTCTGTCTTCCTATTAAAGCCAATTAAATGTTCTATCCAATAGCACTCTCAGAACGGGAGAGCATTTTCCAGCAAGCAGTGTGCCCAACTGTCCTCAGACAGAGTGGCCTTGAGAGCTTGGGGACATGGAAAATCAGACTTAAAGGTCACCAAGGGGCTTCCAGACTCAAGCACAATACCTTGGCCAGGAGGGGGAAAGGAAGTGGTCTTGGAAGGACGGCGATGGTATATGAACTGGGCCTGCTTGGGAGATCTCAGACTTCAGAGCCTAGGCTTCGATTCTAGGCTGGCCAACAGTGAGAGCCCCTCCCACCTTCGTCCCCAGAGAAACCACTGCAGCGGCAACCTATTCAGAAGTCAGGGAGTCTGAACCAAGCCGGTGGGCATGGGGTTGCCAGGCAACTGAAAGGTCAGTGGTTGCCAGACTGGGGTCGATGAGACGCTTCAGAATGCAGCAGCTGGCAGAGATGAAGAATAGGAGTGGCCACTGGGTCAGAGTGGGGTCACAAATGAGATGTCTGGGAAAAGGATGAAGTGGACAGCGCGGAGAGGACAGGATCCTGGGGATGGCTGGCCACAAACATAGGAACTCTAGGGAAAAAAAGATAGCCACATCCCTTCCTCTGCCTGCTCCTGCCTCCACTCTAGCACCATGGGCACCTTTCCATTCTTTCTACCTTTAAAGAAAACCCTAGGCCGGACAGTGGTGGCACTCAGGAGGCAGAGGCAAATGGATCTCTGTGAGTTCGAGGCCAGCCTGGTCTACAGAGTGAGTTCCAGGACAGCCAAGGCTGTTACACAGAGAAACTTGCGGGGAGGGATCTCTAAGAAGAAGAAACGTCTATTAACACTTCTTTCTGCTCCCTGGACCAAAGCAGAGAAAATGAAACATCTAGAAGCCACTAGCAGGCATGTCCAATTTTTGACATGCTGTCTACCAAATTCACAGTTAGGAACTGAACAAAAGTTACAAAAAAAATCACAAAATAAATCTTATGTTTTAAGTAAGCTCATGAGCTTGTGTTTGATCACACTGACAGTCACATATGAGCTACTGGTCACCGTTTAGATGTTCTGACTAAGGGAGATGGCAAGAGAAGGAAACAGGAATTCAAAGAGAACTAGAATACAGGATGGGGCTGCCGAGGGAGGCAGTGAACTCAACCACTGTGCCTGTTCCACCAAGAAGCTAATGAAGCCTTGCCAGACAGGAGGCAGGGCTAGGACAGTCACACCGAGATCTGGGGGCTCCCAGCAGCTCTCCACAGACTTGGGCAGGAGCACCTGGGAGCTTTCACCAAACTCTTTCCGGGATTCACAGTGGAAACCCAGGGCTCACGACGGCCTATGATAGCCCAAGGCGACTGTAGCATCCAGAGGCTGGAATCCGGTCAGCATCCACCACTCTAATGCTGATAAGTCAGCTACCAGGGAATACTTGCTAACTGGACAAACTGCTTCGGACATGCATTTTTCACATCTCTCCAATCTTTCAGCAATCCTGAGTCAGCCTTGATGGTACATGCCTGTGATCCAGCACTTTAGGAGGCTGAGGCAAGAGAATCACAAATTCAAGGCCTGCCTGAGCTACAGAGGTAGCCTGGACAACTTAGTGACACCCTGTCTCAAAAAAAAAAAAAGGTTAAAAAAAAGTTAGGGTACTGGGTATGGTGGCGCACACCTTTAAATCTAGCACTCAGGAGGCAGAGGCAGGTGGCACTTTGTGAGTTTAAGGCCAGCCTGGTCTACACAGCCTGTTCCAGCAGGTCAGGGAGACTTGGTCTCAAAAGCAAGCAAAACAATACCCCCCCCAAAGAATTGTATGCTCAAGGGCCTGGGTTTAATCCCCACTAGTGGAGTGGGGGAACTCCTCTGTGATGAAGATACTGTTGTTCACTCTCCAAATGAGAAAACATGGCCCAGAGGACTGTAAGTTCCTGCTGAGTCAGTAAGCTATTTTCTTTTTCCTTTTCTTTTCCTTTTTTTTTTTTTTTTTTCTTTTCTTTTTTGGAGACATGGTTTCTCTGTANTTGGAAGAGCAGGCAATGCTCTTAACCTCTGAGCCATCTCTCCAGCCTGGATGAACTGATTTAAGGTGGGAAAAAAATCTTATTTTACATTTCTTCTTTTCTTTTTTGGAGACATGGTTTCTCTGTAGCTTTGAAGCCTGTCCTAGAACTAGCTCTTGTAGACCAGGCTGGCCTTGAACTCACTGAGATCCGCCTCCTGAGTTGGGATTAAAGGCGTGCACCACCACCACTGCCTGGCCCTTAGTAAGCTAACTAACAGCAAGCTAGAATCCACCACCAGGCCATCAGACCCTCAGGCCCATGCATTAACACTCCTCTTTCTCCTGCCCCTCCAGAGAGGAGGGCTGACAGGCCAATACAGGATCCCATGACACTCTGATGCAAAGGCTTTTTGGAAAAAATTTAAAAAAAGTTTGCACACAGGCCACCTTGTGAGTCTGGGTTACAGCTACCCTGATACCCTTTTCTAAGGTCTGAGGCTCCAGGGACCACAGATCCTACACAATAAACCACAGCAGAACTTCCTTCACCCAGCCCTGGGTATGGGGGTCAAGGAAGAAGGAGGGAGTGCCTGAGGGTGCTCCCCCAGGGGCACCATGGTATCCTGGGAGTGGGGAGAATGCACTCCAGTTCTCTGGAATGAAATTGTTCAGAGGAGGTAAGAAGGCCCCATCCCCCAGGCCTTGCCCCTAAGATGAACAAATTTAAGGGTATAGGGCAAGTGTGTTGCCTTTTCCTGACATGATGGGGAGTAAAAGCAAGCAGGCATGAGGCCTTCCTTTGAGGGACAAGGTGATTTTAGGGTCCAGGGCCCACAGGGAATGCATGCATTCAGGTCCCTGCCTCTGTCAGCTTACTCTCCAAGACTCCGGAACCCTTCTCCTCCTAAAACACCCCTAGCAGGCTGGGAGAGCTGAGAACTTGAGCATCTCCAGCCCAAACCTCCAGCAGAGATGGCAAAACTCCCACTCTGGATCCATAAACCCCTGGCAGAAAAACCCAGACTCTTCCCCCAAGCAGCAGCCATAGCCGGCAGCCCCAGGCCCACCGCCCACAGAGGAGGGGGCCCCTGCAGATGCACACCCCAGAGCAAAGCATTGTGCAAGGCAGAGGTGGGGAGGGGAGGACAGGACATGCAGTTGTCACAGAGGCAGAAGCATCGCGCACTGACCTTGAAACTCCAGTAGTTTGGTTGCTGATGGGAATAAGAGAAGAGATGGTTACGAGGGGGCTGACAGGGAAGTGGGACAGGACAGGACAGAGACTCTCAGTACACAACCCTGGGTCATGGGCCTCCACCCTCTGAGGAGCAGACAGTAGGCAATGCCTGCGCCTCTCAATTCTCTCGCGAGGCTGGAACATTCTGGTTCACCAAGGAGGGGCAGGTTCCAGGTCTGCTGGTGGGGGAGCAGGATAGAACGTTCCCGATGTTTCAAGTGTCTTTCTAGCCATAGTAATCGACCTCGGAGAGAGCTGCAGGTGAGGAAAAGCGCGGATGGCTATGAGAT